ATGTGGGAATTTGGGGGTGTGGGAATTTGGAGATGTGGGAATTTGGGGATGTGGGAGTTTGGGAATGTGGGAATTTGGGGATGTGGTGATTTGGGGATGTAGGGATCTTTGTACATCTGAGAACTACAAATACCAGACTTTCACAAGTACTTATGACTTTAGGGATTTGGACATGTGTGGACTTCTCAGATTCCTTTGCAAACCTCAGAAGTTGACACTTGCATCCTTTCCTCCCCAAACCCTATACCCCCATACCACCCCCATACCACCCCCATACCTTCCCCACACCACCCTCGATCAGACACAAAAGACCTCAACTTTCCGCACATATAAATTTCGCTGGGGCAAGTAATTGGTAGCGGTATCATCGCGCCATGGTTCCACGTCCATTGAATTCCAATTGCGACCGATATTTGATCTCTCGTCGCGTGGAGCATCAACGAGAGGTCAAGCCTCCGTTTCTCTGTTCGTGACGTGGCCACCACTCTCTCGTAGACGATCTCATTGCGTGGAAAAGCTGCCTCTTGCTCTCGCTACGGCGCCACGTCTCTGGCCTTATTATTTGATGAGCAGCCAGTCAATATCAGTCGAGTTCAAGGAAGGTTGACGGCTCCGTAAACACGGCAATAACGCTGTGCCTCGTGGCGTCATAAACCTTCAACCTCCATTTTCTCCTTCCTTTTTCGCATCTACGTTGCTTCTTTTTCCGAGTACAGATTTTTGTTGGAATTTCTGCAAATCGTTTGCGTTATTTCATGCTGTTGTTCGAGCTGAAATTTGAAGAATTAACAAAATGGGTACTGTTAGGAATTATAGGTTAGGGTGCAGCTGGATAGATGATTGTTGATGGCGATGATTAGTTTACTCTATAAGTGCTCTGTATTTGCTATAAATTGGCTGTGTATTTGCTCTATAATTGCTCTATATTTTACTCTGTAAGTGCTCTATATTTGCTATAAATTTGCTATATATTTGCTCTATAATTGCTCTATATTTTACTCTATAAGTGCTCTAAATTTGCTATATATTTGCTCTATAATTGCTCTATATTTTACTCTATAAGTGCTCTATATTTGCTCTATAATTACTCTATATTTGCTCTATAATTACTCTATATTTGACTCTATAAATGCTCTATATTTGCTCCAAACTTGCTCTAAATTTTCTCTATATATTTGCTCTATAATTGCTCTATACTTTGCTTTACAAGTGCTTTATGTTTGCTCTAAACTTGTTCTACATTTGCTCTAAACTTGCTCTATATTTGCTCTAAATTTGCTTTATATGTGCTCTATATTTGCTCTAAACTTGCTCTAAAGTCGTAAATTTATTCTGCAACCTCTCAGAAGTTGATCAGTCTTTATTCCTAGGTAAGACTAGGTCTACAACGACGCTGTTTTGGAATAGAATTAAGTTCCCACCATTTCTCAAGCATCATTCATCAAGTTTATCTTACTATTCCAATCTTTAGACTGAGAATTTTTAGTTTAGTTGTTAACAATTACAAGTAGCTTAGTTTCAACATTTAGTTAAACAAAGTAAAAAGTACAACGTGACAAGAATTTACGAGAATGTCGCAAGAATAATGTAGAAAATCCCAAAGTCAATCGAGAGTTGTCGAAGGTTTATGGTCGAGGTAATTCACGAGGAAATAGCCTCGGGCGGCCATCAAATGTAGCGATCAAAACGATATCGTTTTAACGATGAAACGTCGGATTATGTCGTTGCCAGAATCCCTTTCTACCGAAGAAGAGCGGGAAAACAGCGTGCGTCGATACCCCGACGGATAGCATCGAATTATCCCCCGGAAGAGCGGACGAGGGCATGGCGTCTAGGGAGAGGATCAGGAACTTGAAATCGGAACGATTCCAGAGGACGGGCAGAAGCAATTCCGCTCCGGATTCTTACGATTGGCATACGAACGGCAGGTAAACAATCTTAATCATCTTCTGTGGAGCTGATTCCATTAAGGGAATACGATACTTGGAGTGTTGGTATTTCCATTGTGTACCGTGGTATCATATTTTAGAATGTTCTGTGGACTTTGCTGGGGAACTCTAGATTGCTCTGTCTGTTGTAGATTGCAATATTAGATTACTGTTATTAGATTTTGGGTAATGGTACAGTAGGTAGTGGTGTAGGATTTCAGTGCAGTGCAGGTTATAGTAAGCAAGTTTCAGAATATAGGCGTTAGAGCTGTAGAGTTTAGGTTATATTTTAGGTTAGGGTCTATATTTGAGTGCTATAATAGAGCTTAAGGCTCCAGAGTTGATGTTAGAGTACTCTAGGCTATAGCAGTTCAAGCTATAGGACATTAATCTGTATAATATAGGCAGGCTCTAGAGTTTAGACTATAGTACTCTAGGTTAGGGTCTATATTCTATGCTATAATAGACTTTAAGGCTCCAGAGTTGAGGTTAGAGTACTCTGGGCTATAGCAGTTCAGGTTATAGTACTCTAAATGGCACTGGGAACTACATTACTCTATATTGTGGATATTGTAGATTGTAGTGCTCTATGTTATGGTTCTCTAGTACTAGAGTACTGCAGAATATAGTACTCTAGATTATAATATTATAGGTCATAAATATCTGGACTTAGTGTTATAATATTGTAGGTTATAGTAGCTCAGGTAGTACTCTAAAGTACTCTATGCTATATTACTCTATATTGATGCTCTAGATAGTACTGTAAATTATGGTACTCTATGATGTACTCTAGCTTATGTTACTCTATATTGATACTCTAGGATATAGTACTATAGATTATGATACTCTATGATGTACTCTAGCTAATGTTAGTCTAATATTGATACTCTAGGATATAGTTCTCTAGATTATGATACTCTATGGTGTACTCTAGATTATATTAGTATTTCAGTACTTTACCAGGTCATTTCATAGTGTTCTAGATTATAGCATTCTAATACCACTCTACTGGCAATAGTATTTAGATATTGCTTCATACTTTCCAACATACATTGTGCTATAACTTGATGCTATATTACTTGAAACTATAACGCTCTATTAAGAACGATGAATATTATAAAATTATAGCTCTAGTCCATACTCTACCAAGCTGATTTATAGTCCACAAATTTTTTCCGTTTAATACCAGTGCATTTTACTTGTAACTACAGGGACATATACATCTAAACTGTAATAACCTCGACCCAATTTTCCGTAAACTTGCAGACAAATATCTATAGACAGTCCTCTACCACCCGTGACAGAGGCGTCCACTCAGGAGGCGGAAATTGAGAAACGGTGATACTGCTGAGAAACTCGGATGAACATAAAAGGAACCATGAGCAACCGGATTGGTTGACAAACACGGTATGAGCCGAATTCATGATTCACGACCCGGCAACACTACGTCGAACACGTGTCACAAATCGAAAAATCTACCATGAATCTTTTTTCGGTCAATGTTCTAATTTCATTCGAATTTCAACCCCTTGCACTATTACCAGGTATTAACAGCTGCAATATTAACTTTTACAACTTATTTGTTGGATGCGAGTCCAAAATTGTTCACAGGTATAATATAACCTAATCACTATGCAAATTGGACTTGAACTTAAAATTGAAAAGTATTAGTTTAATATTTATGAGTAAACTTGACGCACATGGTGCGTCACGAGTCTGATATTATAAGGGATTAATACAAAGAAAATTGAAATGTTATATTACTTTGATATCACAATGCAATCTGAACTCGAACTAAAAATATCAATTTAGAATTGAAAAGTAAAATGACGCACATGGCGCGTCACTCGTAAAAATAGTGCAAGGGGTGATCGATCATTCTCAATAATTTCTAGCAACATTAGAAGCGTAATTGTACAGGAACTTTTATACACGGCAGAAAAAGTGCACTGATTTTATCTTGTCGAACGCTATCGAACGATAATCTTGTTCGGCAAAACGTTGAATTAAACTCGCAGAACAATTTTTCACGCGCGTGTCGCGCGATAATTACCATGTCGTGTTTGTAACTGACAAACGATCTGATTGCGAGCCGTCGTTGAAAATCCGCCTTAAACGCGTCAGCGAACACCTGCACGATTCTTCAAGCTCGAAAGTAACGAATTTACGGACAACTCGGACAGTCCGGAAACTTCTCGTTGAAAATGGTTTCGTAACGCGGGGCTAGTTAATGCCGACTGTCGCGGTGTTGGAAACAGGAGGTATACAACTTAATGTACATTGTAATGATGCTTTAAAGTGGATTAAGGTACTTTTGATCGTTCTGGGTAATCCTTTTGTATTTTATCCATTCGAAATTTCAAGTTTCGCTGGAAGCTGCAGAATTCATTTATAAGCTTCATGTAGGAGTTCCATTTAGAAGTTTCAAATTTTAAATGAAGTTCAAAAATTGATTTTTATTTGTTGTTAACAGGTATTTGTGGCTGTGAAAGTACCTCACTTATAAATTATCTAAAATGTAATTCGACCTAATTTAACCTAACCCAAAACTAAAAATGACCTAACTTGACCTAACCTAAAATGTAATTTGTCCTAATTTGACCTAACCTAAAATGTAATTTAACCTAATTTGCCCTAACCTAAAATTGAAAGTGACCTAACCTGACCTAACCTAAAATGTAAAGTGACCTAACCTGACCTAACCTAAAATTCAAAGTGACCTAACCTGACCTAACCTAAAATTCAAAGTGACCTAACCTGACCTAACCTAAAATTCAAAGTGACCTAACCTGACCTAACCTAAAATTCAAAGTGACCTAACCTGACCTAACCTAAAATTCAAAGTGACCTAACCTGACCTAACCTAAAATTCAAAGTGACCTAACCTGACCTAACCTAAAATTCAAAGTGACCTAACCTGACCTAACCTAAAATTCAAAGTGACCTAACCTGACCTAACCTAAAATTCAAAGTGACCTAACCTGACCTAACCTAAAATTCAAAGTGACCTAACCTGACCTAACCTAAAATTCAAAGTGACCTAACCTGACCTAACCTAAAATTCAAAGTGACCTAACCTGACCTAACCTAAAATTCAAAGTGACCTAACCTGACCTAACCTAAAATTCAAAGTGACCTAACCTGACCTAACCTAAAATTCAAAGTGACCTAACCTGACCTAACCTAAAATTTAGCTTGATCTAACCTAACCTAACATTTACCCTAACTAAGCCTAACCTAAACTTTAACTCGACTTAACTTGACTTAACCTAAAATTTAACTTAACTGATCTAATCTAACCTAAAATTTAACTCGACCTAACCTAACCAAAAATTAAACTTAACTAACTTGAGATTAAATTTGAAATAAAAAATTTTGTAAATAAATTTTAAATTAAAAATTGAAAGCAAAATTTCAGAAATAAAATTGAAGTATAATTTGAGGAGTAAATTGTTGAAAATGAAATTTGAATAGTTAAGAAATTTCGAAGGATAAAGTTTGAAAGGGTTAACAGGATATTTGAAAGGTGACTGGCGTTTCCGGAACGGCGTTTTACTTACGAATTTTAGCATAAACTAGTAATAGAGTTCTTATAACTAGATGTATTTTATATGCACTTTAGCAAGTACTTCGTAACGAAAAGAGGCTAAGAATACAAAGCCCGTTGAGACAACGACATTGCAGAAACCTATTTATCGACGCTTCGATAATGCTTCGATAATGCTCGATTATTCTGTGATGCGATTTTCGTACTTTTACACGAGCCTCGTTTAACGTCGACAGTTAATAATTTCACGTCGTTTTGAACCAACTCGAAAGTCCACTGTAATTTCAGCCCTTTCGTTGAAAACACAGCTGCAAAAAATCGGCTATTTCATTTGGCTTGTTTGAGAAATATCGCGCTTTCCGTTCAATTTTTACATCGGACGAAGCAATATCGAATACGCATGAAAAGAGCTTTATTTGTTTTTTGAGAAATTGTATATTTCCGGTAGAAAAATATTGAAAACGTCAAAGGTTTTGCGCGGCGCAGAATAGAATCGATTTTGATCTAATTTATGTTTCACAAATATAGTTTCAAATTTTTAATGTGGTCCACAGGTTCGAAGACGATCACTTTCGAAAAATTACAAGCCTACTCATTGGACCACTTTTCTATAAAATGTATTCAGTATTTTGCATGAGCCATGACACGTAGCCATGAAAATGGTTCGAATAGCCATTTCACGAGTTTCAGTTTCCACGAAATTCGCTAATTTCCACAGAAGTTGCCTCCCGCTAGAAGTAACGAGCTCGTCTTAATTTGCTCCGCCATCTGCAGGATTGTTTGCACAAAAACTCCTTTGTTCGGATGTTGATGCTAAGACTCAGAGAAAAGCCATTTGTCAAACACGTTAGTCACGGAAAATTTTAATGAATAACCTCTGTAATTATTTTCACGCTTTTTACGTTCTCCATTTTTTGTCGAAAACTTGCGATTGTTTTAATAAAACATTGAATGTATAAATAAATTTTTGTTATAATTGTTTTGAAGCTTGTTCAAACTTGGTGCTTGTTGCAATATTTGATAAAAAAGATAGGACTTATTGTTATATATAAAAGAGTAAAACTTTATTTGGTTTTCTGTTTGTAATTCTACAGGACGACTCAAAAGTGGTGGTCCTTTTATTGAGACAGACATGTAATTTTCATTGAAACAAAGATACGTAATTGTACAATCAGTATGTTACTTATGAATTTGTATACACAGTGTTCTGATAAAATGTATACGTATAATTATATAGGATGACTAAAAAGTGGTGGTCTGTTTACTGAAACATTGCAAGTATGAGCAAAAGATATGTACATTCAGTATGTAACTTCTGATACAATTTGTACACATAGTGTTCTAGTAAAATACATACATATAATTCTACAGGACGTCTCAAAAGTGGTGGTCTATTTACTGAAACATTGCAAGTATGAGCAAAAGATATGTACATTCAATATGTAACTTCTAATAGAATTTGTACACATAGTGTTCTGATAAAATACATACATATAATTCTACAGGACGTCTCAAAAGTGGTGGTCCGGTTTCTGAAACATTTTAAGTATGAGCAAGAGATATGTATATATTTTATTGAAGAATTTTATTCGAACATTTTATTGAAGCATTTTATTGGAACATTTTATTGAAAATTATTATTAAAACACCCTATATAAAACAAAAATGAATTATTCTCGAAAATGATCGTCTTTACCGAACCAAACGAAACAAAGTCACCGAAAAATCGAGTGGCCTGTAAATAAATTAGCGTAAAAGTATATATAAAATTGAATAATTGTTAGAATTGAGTACGAAGCATGCGACCAAGAGAACTCAAACCAAAGTTAGATTCGTGATTTCGTTGGACCTTAACTCTCTATATTATCCGGGGGACCAGAAACGCGTATTGAATTTAATCGATATCCGTCGAACCTCGCGACTATAATACGTTCGACGATCATATCACGTCCTGACTTCACGAATTCCTTCGGAAAACTGCACAGATTTACGGGTCCTTACAGGAAATTATAGATATCCGAATTCAATGCTGTTATCGACGTTTATTATCGATGGTTCTTACTATTTGTAAGGATAGGTTTTTCCATTTGCGGGGGTCGTCTACTGATGGGCAATTTTCCAATTTTTTTCAGGTCAGGAAATTAGAGAAATTTTCGGTTCTTTAATTTCAAGGTTTATTTTTTTAATAAAAATAGAAATTTTTTAATTTTTACATTTGTGAATTTTCAGAATCCCAAATTTCTAAATTACCAAATCCCTAAATCCCCAAATGTCTGAATCTTCAAATCCCAAAAATTAAAAATTCCTAAATTGTCAAATCTCCAAATTCCCCAATATCTAATCCTCTTTTCAAAAATTAAAAATTTCTAATTTCCAAATCACTAAATCCTCAAATTCCTAATTTCCCAAATTACTAAATCCCCAAATTTCTAAATGACCAAATCTCCAAGTCCCTAAATTCCCAATCCCCCAATATCTAACCCCCCAAATTTCAAAAATAACAAATTTCTAATTTCCAAATGACTAAATCCCAAATTCCTAATTTCCCAAATTACTAAATCCCCAAATTTCTAAATGACCAAATCTCCAAGTCCCTAAATTCCCAATCCCCCAATATCTAACCCCCCAAATCCCTAAATCCCCAAATTCCTAAATTACCAAACCTTCACCTCCCCAACCCAAAAATTCCAACTTTCTCAACCAAAAAAATTCGTCGTAAATTATGAAAGTGTCATAGAAGTGCCTTTACTGTACAAATTTACGTTTCAGTCTCACACGATTCAAATTTCGCGCGCTC